TATATATATTTTTTTTTTAAAAGATAAAATTTTAGTGTGAGAAATGAATGGTTAAATGATTATTTAGTTACTTATATAAAAAAAATAATTTTGAAGATTATAAAAATGAGAAAATCATTCAATATTTTTAAAATATGAAATCTTGTAGAGAACAATTATAATATATATTATATTTTAAAAAATATGGAATTATATGTTTATTATTACAAGTTTGGATATGAGTATTATGCCACTACCTAAAATTCTTAGATCTATCAGGGATGACAACAACACACCTTTCCTAACACAAAAACCCCAACATCTTCGCATTCCACTACAATAAAATAAAGAATAGAATGAAATATTTCTTGCTCGCTTCATGAAAAAATCGATGAGGATAGAAATAAATTTTATCTTGATTGATTTTTTTTCCTTCTAAATTATTAAGAGTCACATCATCATCTACCAAATTAAACAAATTATTGTCACATGAATTTATTAAACCTACATCATTCACACAGAAATGATGTTACAAATAAATTAATAATAAATACTTAAAGAAATTAAAAAAAGATAAATATAACATTAAAAATGTCTATTTTAAAATATAAGAGTAAAAAGGTTGAGTAAAGAAAAATATATATAAAATAAAAATGTTTTTTAACCTTTCTATTATAATAACTACGGTATAAGTTATACTGTTTTGCTGTGTAAAATCTGACAGTATAAAAATTATATAGAAATTAAACTCTGAAACTTATATGTAATATATTTATTTTTGGTATTGTTCTTTAATAATAAATAGAGCTATACTTTGATAAGTAACACAGGCTTCTAATATTAACTTTTATTGTGTAAATTAACAAAATAAAATTATTATTTTTATCAGAAAGTAATATCAAAAAACACTTTAAGCTTTATGCTAATAATAATAGATGTGGAAGTGAACTCTGACAGGGACGAACTTGCTTGAATTTTGCATAGAAGATAATCTCTTAAACAATTACGTAGAAATTCAACGTGTTTACATATCTTTGAACATACTCAAACATCATTGATAAGAATAAGCTGCGCAGTACTCAATCAATAAATAATCTCCTTACTTTCTTTTATAAAATTGAACAATCCTGTGAAAGAGGCATCAATACTCTTAGGATCGGTCCTACTAAATTTGTCTGCTCTTGATGACGAAACTTCTTGTGAAGTTCTACAAGGCCCCTTAGATTCTGCTTTATTAAACTCTTTAACTCGAGTGTGTACATAGCGGATAATCCCTGTCCCACGCGAAATAAATATTAAAACAAAAATGTGGGTGGTTGCGTAACTCATGTATGATGTCACGTTTTCGCATATAAATATAACTAAATATAGTATGGTGTAACAATTTGGCCTAATTATTTTCCTACAATGGTATATATGCTAGACAATTCTTGTATTCACCACTAATACATTCTTAAACACCATGTCTATCGACTCCTCGAACCACCCAACTCCTGACTTGTACTGCAGTGAAGTAACTAGCGAGGTGATTCACTTGGATTCCGATGAGTCTCTGAAGTTTCATTTTCTATGGGAAGACTCTGATTCTGATAGTGAAGGAAGTTGTCTATTGAGCTTATTAGAATCTGAACATGATCAAGTACCGGAACAAAGAAAGTCACTAAGACAACTTCGCAAAAAAACGTGGCTGATTAATGCTCGAGAAGAGGCCATACATTGGATCCTAAAGGTGCATGATTGCTTGCTTCCTATGTACAAAGCACCCAAACATGGCTTTCCATTGTAACCAGTTTTTGAAAGTGATGTTTTTCTCACTTTGCAGGTGCATTCTTACTACAATTTTAGACCCGAGACAGCATATCTTTCTGTAAATTACCTCGATCGTTTTCTTTTGTCACACTCCTTGACGGTATTACTTCCATTCAAATTGGTTTATTTGATGAAATGTAACATGCAATTTTTGTTTTAACAAAGTGGCATGCTTGTGTAGGAAGATTCAGCATGGCCTATGCAGCTGTTGTCAGTTGCTTGTCTTTCACTTGCAGCAAAAATGGAAGAAACCAAAGTGCCACTTCTTTTGGACCTTCAGGTGATCGAGTCCAAGTTTCTTTTTAAGCCCAAAACAGTTCAGAGGATGGAGCTTTTGGTTATGGCCAGTCTCAAGTGGAGATTGCGTACTATAACCCCTTTTGATTTTATCCACCTTTTCATTGCCAAGCTTTCATGCTCTGCTTCCAGATGGCGAGATTTAAGTTACATTGTTTCTCGTGTCTCAGATGTTATTATCAGAACATGTCTAGGTATCAGAACCTTCTCTATTCTCTTGCAATAAAAGTTAGATACAAATCCTTAAATATTGTTGTTACTATTCTTTAATCATTTTACTTCCTTAACCAGCATAATATGTTTGATTGGAAAATATAGGATAAAGAGTAAAACTCTAATTTTGATCGGAAAATAACTTTATAAGTAATTAAGATACTGCATCTAAGTTTTTTCTGAATATTTATGCCTGACAAGTGATAATGTGAATGAACAAATTTACTAGTCATGGATTTCTCGGAGTTTTCACCATCCACAATAGCAGCAGCTGCACTGTTATGGGTAACCAACCAACGTATAGATGACAAGAAACCGGATTGCTTCCACAAGCATATAAGCATTGTAAGTGAGCAAAATGTGATAAAGAAATTGATAGTGAGGGGTAGTTTTCTAATTTTCACGTTTTTGATGTTTCTGTCGTTAATCTTAAAATACAGGAGATGGTGCATACATGTTACAAACTAATGAAGCAGAAACTGATCATTCGCCGATCAGAATTTTTTTGGTCAAAGACTTCACAATTATTGCCCCGAAGTCCCACCTGTGTGCTTGATCATGCAGCTATGCAAGAAAGCAGCGATGCTCTCAAGCCCTGACTTGAAGCCTTGCCACGTGTGTCACTAGCCAAGGAATCTAAAACATTACTTTCAAATTTTCCAGTTCTGATTCATTACGGTTTCTTTGATTTGGTGTGATTGTGTGTGCATCTTCCATCAGGTTCATCATGGAACATTTAATTGTGTGTGCATTTTGAATAAGGTTCATCATGGAAAACTCTGACTGTAAACGGAAGTAGTTATATTGAAAAAATTCTACGACGTTGTTGATTTTCCTTTTTGAACATAAATAGCGAGTTGTACCTTTATTTGTTGTGTGGAGTGGACCACATTTTTCTCAGAAGCAAATGAAATTCCTCGTACTTGCGATATGCTCGCTTCCAAATTACAGAGTTAACTCACTGATTAAACAATCATGGCAAACTCTAGTTTTTGAAGAAATAAGATAATGATCATGTGATACTATGTAGTATGTACACAAGTAACACAACCCACGTGGAAAGAGAGAAATAAAAAAGAAAAAGAAAAAGATGATAAGATGCAAAAAGAAAGTAAAAATAAACAATATAAGACGGTGTATGAATTGAAGTGTCAAAATATTAGAGTTGAACGACTAAACGGCGTCATGTTTATCCACTCAAACATGATTCAAACAATAAAGGGGAATTGAACTATCTGATGTACTGCAAATACCTATTAAGCTATAAAGAAAAGAAAAGAAAAAGGTACCGAGTAATAAGGAACCTCGAAAACAAATTGTATGACTTGAGTTGAATCCAAAACTTGTACAGCAGTACAATTTATGCTAGATATTTCTAGGTTACAAACTAAGTACTATATGCAATTACAGAATCTTATTATGTGTAACAGACAATACATTAAGCAGTACTACTAAACATTGTCTAATCCATATTTAAACAAGCTAATAAAGACTAATTTTTTGGATTTAGCCTTCACGAGTTCAACTACAAGGTTTCTTCCACTATTAAATCTAAGGGCTTTGGTCAATTGATGCTATACAGGAAAATTTGTGTTTTCTTGCTGTTGTCGACAGTTTCAGTTTGCAATATACTTTTTATAATATGATTAAACGGAAAGAAAGCATAAAGAAAACGAGGTCTATACTTATATCCTCAGAGACAAAGGACATGTGAAGAAGTCTGACCATCCATTTTCATTGGCCTTTGCCCAATATGAACACTGAATTTATCAATTTTCCATTATTCTTTTGATCTCTGTTTCAAAGTCAAAAATTCACGCACATGATTCATGAACGCTACTTTCTGCAATACAAAAAACTATTCTGAATTTGATTGTGTTTAACTATAATGCTTTGTATGTGAGAGGAGGTGCTATCAAATGGAATAAGTGAGAATTAATTTGATAGAAAATAGAGTAAAATTTGTAGTTATTTTAAAGAGTGAAATTAGGTGAGAAATAGAAGGAATTATATATTTAAATTTTCATATAAAAATAACATTTAGATATTTATATTTTTACCTTTTATTAACTTTTTGCAAACATGCATTTAGACAATGGTGTAGGATAGTTTTATTTAAATATTTATTTTGTGAAAATTATCTCACAAATCTAGTCATAAGAGAGTGGAATTAAATCTACTTGGACTTCCATCATAATATCCTCTCAAATCCACTTAAATTATCTCCTCTAAACATAAATATTTTCTTTTAATTCTTTGATAATCCTTCCCCTTTTTTTTTTTTTCATTTTTTACTAAATCATTTCTCCCAAACACAACATAAAAGATATAAACGAAGAGATTTGATAGATAGACCAATCTTAAATTAATAACATAATGCACCCATAAGAAAATAGATTTGGACTAACTTAATCAACTTTACAATTAAGATGAAAATTATTTTTACTTATATACTTTATTTTAGTCATACAATAAGTGAAATAATCTCTAACGTAAAATTCACATAACCAATGAATAATAAACTTTTATATTATCTTAAAAAAATGAGTTTGAGCTTAACTTACAAAATTGATTAATAAAGTAAAAATTATTTTAATTATATATTTTAGTTTGGCTATATTACTACATGGATATCTAACCTAAAATAAATCAAATGAAAATTTCACATAAATGAACCGGATATGAATAAGTTTGAGAATTGTTCAGTTGAGGTTGAAAAAATTTATATTCACAAATTTTTCCTTCTTGTATTATAAGACATTTTTTTTTGTTGAATGCAATTTTAAATCGATATGCAATTAGAGGATGCACTATGCTATCTACCAAATCAAGGCCGGAAACAAATTTGTGTAGTTTAAAGTCATTTTTTTTCATGCGACAAGTACGTATTTAATGCATTTTCTTAACTGTTAAGAGCTACTTATCAGGACTAATATCTTACCAATTATTCTCTCATTATTATGATGTAATTTCCTGTTTTACATTATAATCTTTTTCCTTTAAAATCATATTGATTGTCACACACAAATTGTGGTGAAATTTATCACATCTTACATTAACCATTGTGAAAGTTTGTAGGGGCCAGGGAGATGTCATCCAGTGAGAGTTTGCTACGAATGGTAGGCAAATGATTAAAACAAAATCTGGAGCCTTTATGAAAGCAAGACGCGAACAACCGAACAAGAAAGATCAGAGGGTTGCAATAAGACAATTAGTGAGGACAAGACACACGCTCCTCCTACATACTTGAACTAGACTTCAATTATTATTCTTTTCAGTAATGTTTGTACAATTAAAAACATGGCCCAATGCCCCATCGCTATTCACTGATGAATGATTTAAAAGACGAAGTTTCTCATGCCTACCAATCTGAAGATCATGATTCATGACTCATTAGTCAATGTAACACTCATGTAGACGTAGTTACTTTGTCACTTTGTCTTACTAAAACTGCGGCAGCTTCCTACCTAATGCAACTATTCAAGAAACAGAACCTCATTAATAAAAGAAGGTTAAAATATATTTTTTCATAAATTATATTTTTTCTCTTATACTTTTTTTTTTTATTGATTTTAGTCTTTTATCTTTTATATTTTAAATTAATTTGATCCTTTAAAATAATTATATTTTCAATTTTGTGACATGATTTTGAATCACATTTTGATTAATTCAAGATGTAAAATTTGTAACATTAAATTCACTTTTATGAAAAATATGAAATACAATTAACTTTTGTACTATTCGTACCGCGAAGCCGAGCTCTAGCTCGGCATCACAACGCAGAGCGACCTCGGACATACGCTAGGCGACATCAGCCAAGACAAGGCCCGCTATCCAAACATATTATAACCGATCCCATGCCCAAGGTCCAGTAAAACCCTAATTTACACAAAGGTACGTGCATTACTTATACGAGACTCATACACCCACAAACACTAATTTTAGCACCGGAGTCTCTTTTGCAGGTACCACTCCCACTTTAGAGCAGCAAGCGTACCCAGCGAAGGGGACTCGCCAATCTTGCCCAGAAGATCGTCCTACGACCAATCTCCGATAAGAATATTTGGCGCCCACCGTGGGGCCGATCAAGACAGCTCTTATCGGCCACGCTTATGGTTTTCACCCGAAGCCATAGTAGACAAGCAACGGACGACCTAGATCGCACAACTAGAATGGACAATGAAGCAGCACTGAGAAAATTGATCGAACAGGTCAACCAAATGCAGCAGCAACACGCCATCGACCTGGACAACATTCGCGCCAAGCACGAAACCGACCTAGCGGCGCTGCGCGTTGAGAATGAGCGCATTCGCGCCTAGCTACCTCGGCACCCTTCTGATCAACCCTCCAACCGAGTAATCCACATGAGGAAGAGAGGCACTTTGTTTCTCAACCACCGAATGCACCCAAGGTGGCAACCCACAGGTTTACTGTTCATCGGTCACACGTGCTGACAAATAGGTCAGACCACGAGGTCAGCAATGCTCCCGCTCAGGCTCCTAGAAATCGGGCGAGCATCTGCCACCACCCTTTTGTTGACGGCATCATGGAGACGCCCCTCCTTTTCGAATGGAAGCCTCTCAACATCGACCGCTATGATGGCACGACTGACCCAGACGAGCACGTCGACCTATACATTACACAGGTAAACTTATACACTAATGAAGATGCTATTCTGTGTAGGGTTTTTCTGACCTCGCTCAAGGGAGCAGCACTTGCCTGGTATACTCAATTGCCTGTGGGGTCGATCGACAACTTCGACACCCTGGTAAGGCGATTCACGGCGCAGTACGCCACGAGTCGACCTCACCATGTCACATCAGCCGCCTTGGCCAGTCTCAAACAGGACGATGACGAACCACTGAGGACATTCATTGTGCGCTTTGCCAACACCTCGGTCAAAATCCAAAACTTGAACCCCGAGGTCGCCCTACACGCCATGCTCATGGCACTAAAGCCAGGACCTTTCATTGACAGCTTGTGTCGACGATTTTCCCTTGACATGGACGAACTCCGTGCCTAAGCTGCAGGGTACATTCAGATGGAAGAACACTCTGCTTTTCGTGACCAGGTTCGCGAAAAATCACAGGCAAAGCCAGACCACGATCACAAAGACAAGGTGCAGGTCACCAATGACAGTCAGTTCAAGAAGGCTGCTAGGACAAATAAAGGGGGGAGATACGACTTCTACACCCCCTGAACGCGCCCCGAGTGCACATCCTGAAGGAAGCCAGCAACAACAATCTGCTCACTTTGCCACCACCTGGACACAGTCCCAATAGTGCGAAAAAATCTAAACATTGCCGGTACCATAGAAACTATGGTCACACAACTGACGAGTGCTGCACACTCAGAGATCGCATGGAGGAACTCGTCCAGAGGGGACACCTCGGACAATACGTCCAACGACAGCAAGGTCACCGAGGAGGTTACAACGGACGAGGACGAGGGCGAGGTCGCGGTTCAGGCACTCGCACAGACCAACCCTCCGGATCTCAACAAAACACTAGTGGCGCGGTGCAGGCCGAGGTAAGTCAGGAAACAGGATCAGCTCCCTTGCGAGGAGTTATCAACACAATTGCAGGTGGTTTCGCAGGGGGCGACTCTAGCATCTCGGCGCAAAAAAGACACTTGCGCAGCATCAACAATGTTCACTCCGCTACCTCGGCCCCGCACCATGGCACACCACCAATCACCTTCACCGACGACGACTACACTAGCATCTGTCCAACCAGGATGATCCGATGGTCATCACCGTGGAGGTCGCCAATTGGGAGGTCCACAACACGCTGATCGACCAAGGAAGCTCGACTGACGTTCTATACTGGCCGACGTTCCTAAGGTTAGACATTCCCCACTCCCTTATCCAACCTCACACAGAACCTCTGGTCAGTTTTGCAAGAGAACGAGTCCATACTCGTGGGTACGTGGATCTGCTAACAACCTTCGGGACCCCTTTTGACTCGAAGAGGATCATGGT